TGTATTTCAATACTTGGAGTATGTATTATACTTTCTTAAGATTGTTTAGTGTATATAGATAAGAAAGGTACATAAATAATGCACATAAACTCTATTGTCGGTGGGGAGAACGGCGTCAGCCATCCGATTAGTCCCATATTAATAGTACCGATATTGTAAATATTTCCACGAATTGTTTTATTGACATTAACTTACCTAGTTCTTATATAATCACTAATAATAACAATAACATTCTAATCAAAATAGATTCACCATATCAAAAAGATTTTGAATACGCACCCAATTCGCGATGTAGTCCTCAGTGTATGTAATGTTAATGAAACATGTCATACATCAAGGGAGTGTATATTACAATATGCCAGTGCGTATTCTCAACATGTAACCATCGAAGGGTAATTTAAATTCCATTTTCAGGCATTTCCAATCTAATCCAATGTAGGCACATGCGAAGCGCCTTTCTTTACAGATACGAAGCGCATTTACAGGTACAATATAAAAATTGTCGCACCCCAGCGCCAACTACGGTGGCTCTGATGTGGTCCAGCAACCCCCCCCCCCCTTAAATCCTGGATACGCCACTTGAAAGACTCTGTCGCCGATTGGAAAAAGGTTAAGTAAATATAAATTATATAATTACAGTACTGCTGGCTTACAGGTCTATACAGTAACTTTATATCGCAAGTGGATTTGACGATTTCAAACCATTGCTACGCTACTACAGAAAGCTATAAATGAGGAGAATGATCCTGAATGTTCATTTTAATAGCGCAAGTAGGAAGAGACTATCGTTTGATAGGAAGAATCGTTGTCACGGCCAGGAACAAAACCTTAAAAAAGCTGCTTTTTAAATAAAAAGAGTACGAAGAAAATTTAAGCTATACGCAAATATTGTATCTCCCTAAAGAGCATTTTATTAACTTTGAAAATGGAGGGCCAGCACATTTCACTAAATCACACAGTATATGGAATACGTCTACACGAGTACATCTAAATATGCTAATTTGGAAAAGGTCTTAAAACACGAACTGTATATTAATAATAGGCATATATTTCAAATTATGTCAGAATCTTGTATTGGACTGCAGCCATCCTTCTGCACCAAACTTTCAACAATGAAATAACGAAAAAATATCTTGTCAAATTAAAGATTTGTATATGGATCACATATAAGTCTTGTCATTCCAACTTGCTAATGTGTGCGATTTTATTTAAAGTATGGTACGATGCTGTACTGTAGACATCCTACGTACATTCTAACTGGGTACACTAATTTGAGAGATACGTCACAATATCGCAATAATTAGAGAGGTAAATATGCTGTTACAGTAGTTTTCATCACCCCACTATAAAATCCTTCTGCGCAATGGAAATCAGTTCCATTTTATTAAAATTAAGCCAACAATCATTTGTTAAATCATTCAAAAGCATAGAAAAATGTTTAGTTAATAGATTACATTCATGGCCACTAACCAAAGGTTTAAGTTCTACTAAAATGAAGTACACTAATACAATAATAAGTATCAAACCATTTGAGAGCAATGAAGTACAATTAATTACTTTCTTAAATAATACTGCAACGAATTGTCCAAATTCATGAGGACAATGGTTAAAGTAAATTTAAAGACACTTGATTTTGTGACCATTGCCACCACGCAGTTTATAGAGTACACTGGGAATACAGATGATCCCTTATGTGCTGCTCATTAGCTCTTTCTTTGTCTATGTTTCAATGTTCTTTCGCGATCAATGTTTTTTGTTAAATTTAAACATAATTAAAGAGGGTCCCTTATGTCCATTGAAATCAATGATTTAAAAGGGTCTACAAATATGAAGATACCTACCATATAACAAGTCTCCTTCCATCTAAACTGATTCTCAATAAACAAAAAAAATTAAAAATTGTATACATTTGAAAAACAAAGTCCTTGTGAATAACAGGCAATTTTGATTAAAAATACTAAGAGCGACCTCTATAATACAACAAAAAAATAACTGAATTTGGCACCTTCATTAAAAATGCTTTACGAACTATAAAAATATAGAAACTCAAAATACGACAAATAAATGAATACATGAAGAAACTAATAGACTAGAACAATAATAATATTATTACACTATAATATTTTGTAATATTAAATCCATGCAGAATTGTTTTTATAACCAAACCAAACTCCACAAGAAAAATAAAAATTTGAGACAAAGTCGCAGCCAATGTAGAGAGGTGTGGGGTAGGGGGGGGGGGGGGGGGTGGGGGGAGAGAGATTGTGACACATTATGACGACACATAATAGCCCGGAAAGAAGAAGAGCTTCTTGGTGAGCATGGTAACAGGAGCTGGCATCTGCTTGTTACGGCCGGATGAAGATTCAAAGGCACGAGCCACTTTGTTGTTTACCTAGAAAAAAAAAAGAGAAAATATATTATTCATTTTCGCAAAAAATCCAGTATTTACTATATTATAAAAAACCACAAACAACAATCATCACAAAATTAACGACTTCAGGCGATTAACAAAGTAGGGAATTAAACCTACTACTTTCTACTGTATTTTTATACAATTTAACATCGCTTTTCTGATTGATATTATGATGCACCCAGATTATTTACAACAAAAAAAAATTCATTTATGTATGAATTATATATTATAAGTCAGATTTAACACAGAGAGCTCCCTGACAGTGAACTAATTTTTACTTTTGAGCAATCCAGTCGAGTTTCTTATGACTTTTTAAGCTTCTATTTTTCAAAAATGTTTTATTTCTATCTTTATTATCTTGTTTGTCTTTGTATTTTGTGTTTTATAGACGAAATAAATGATATGATATATGATATAAACGCAATTCCATTTAGGGAAAAACAAGGAAGTTCCCGGAAAAAGATAATAGTGAAGTACTTGGCTGTTGTGTTGAGACGGTATACACATTTATACAACTATAACAATTTATTTCCTTATGTTCATGTTGTAATGTGTTAAGCCCTAATGTAAACAGAAATTATTAATGTTGTTTAGACTGTATATTCTTTATTAAATAAAATTTTAAAATATTCTTTATTTAATAAAAATTTATTTAATCATAATCAATAATATGGTATCTTGCAAAGTCTCTATCACTATTGGCATTATTATCAATATTTCATAATTACTATTATTATTACTTTACTGGGTTAAGCACTACTGCAGTGGATTATGTGCAGTCTTATTATCCTGATTATTATTTAATAAATATTTTATTACCATTATTTAATTCTTTATTAGAATCAGAATGATTTTTTTTATATAGGCCTAGATATTCATTATATACTATTAAGCATTTCATGTAGAATAATATTATATAAAATGTTTTGTTTGCTGAGGTTACAGTAGCACATTGGTAAATCCTACATCTTAAGAAACACATCATTTTGAGTTCAAGTCAATGTCCTATCTTTCAATGTGATATTCCATGGAGAAGACCGTCCAATTCATAGAACCGTAAACAACACACATATTACAGGCAAACTGATTTCTTTGCCTAGACTACATATTAAATCAGACAAATAAACTCGCACATTATTTCGAGTTAAAGTCAATGTCCCCACATAGCATTTCAAATAATAATCTCATAAGGTGGACAAACTATTTTAATGCTCTACTATTCTGCATACAAAAACTAAAATATTCTGTAATATATTAATCAACGTTTAATGTAAACACTAAAAACAGGGAGAGAATCCTGAATAAACATCAAGATTCATTATTAACAAGTCCGATCAAACATGTGACAGACAGATAATCTGTTTTTGTAAAATAAATATTATATGAAGATTACACAACTAGGTTCATGGTGAACTTTAAATTTTGTAACTTTTAACTAAGTTTATGCATTTAAGTTCACACAAAATACATACATATGTGCCTTATCTGATAATAATGAATTAAACATTTTAACAGCGAAAATTAAAAATAACACCTCAACCCATGCTCAAACAATAAGAAAATTTGTTATTGACACTATAATAATTGATATTTGTGGTTTTAAGTGCAATTTTAGCCTAGTTTAATTAAGTTTAATGTGTAATATTGTTTATTAAAACATGCATGCATAAAACGTAATTTATATTTACTAATTTAACGAGTGGACTTCCTTGATTTAAGGAAATATATGTATATTGAGATACGCAAAGTTTATAAGGTTAGAAGTTAGGAGAGGATTTCGTTATGTCGTGGTCATATTAGACTGTAATATCGTTAAAAACCATTCAACAAAAAACATAAAACATATCAAAATTATTAAGTTAAAGTTTTTAATTAAGTGCATGAATATAACGTAATTTTAGGATATATGAGATTTACCATTTGAGAAGGTGTATAGCTCCCCCTCTCTCTACTATATATCTGATACTTAATGTGTATCTGATACTTAATGTGTACACAATATCTGATTTTCACATACAAGTAACAAATAGATGAATTTATTATTTTTATCATTATTATTATTATTATTATTATTATTATTATTATTATTATTGTAATTCTTATAACTAGATATTGTTTGGTGCTCATAGTTTTATATTCTTCTTTTATTTATTATATGTTGTTAACACTTGTAACACTGTCAGTGGATCGTGAATCTTGAATGTGTAAATCAGGTTCAACCACTGATCTCAACTATTATATTAACTAAATTGTTCATTGGATGGTTATAATGAAGCCACCGACGCTATGTTGAGGAGCCCAAAATGACACAAATACATCATCATAGTGCAAAACTTTCGAATTAGTGTGACGATTACTAGCAACGTGACATCGCTTGCGCTTTTGTATGTAAACTGCATAAACATGCGCACTAAGATGTGCAAAAAAATCATTTTGTTACATTTAAAATTATTAAAATGTAATTGCAAGAATTGATATATTTGAAAAAATAATTAAAGCAAATGCAAAAAAGAAAAAAAAAAACATAACTTGTCTAAACTGGTACATTACTTGGGCTCTTGCACATGGTGTCGGTAGCTTCACTTTTTCCGGTACAATGATTGGCCAATGAGTAATCCAGCTATTATAGTACAGATCAGTGGGCTCAACCCACAATATAAACAATTTTGAAACTGGATTAATTTGATCCTTTTGTGTAAAAAGTGAATTTTATGTAATGACATTTTACTAATTTGATAATTAAGTGTTTAATTTGGGAAATTATATTTTACTACTTAGATGATTATGTGTTTTAATACATTGGTCATAAAAAATGTAAGGTAAGAAAAAAGAAAAATTTCATGCAGATATTTAAAATTGATCACTAAAGCTGGGCACTCACTGCAACCGACGGGCGGTGCAATTCTATGGAGAACGCGACGCGACAATGCGCAACAGATCTTTTTAATTACGATCCATTCAGACTACAACCGACAATCAGCAGAAGGTGTCGCGTCGTCTAGCCCTAACAGGGAGTGGAGTTGGACTCGTCGGCTGATGGTCTTACGACGCAGTGATTGCCCGGTTTAAGGGTTTTCTGGTTTCTAAGCCTAGCTACTGTACTGATCACCATCCCCCAAAACCTGACTGAATTTCATGGTCGAATGGTTGGAAAAAAAATCATACAATTGTAATAAAAAGAGAATGTTTTAATCATCTAACCATTGTCATCATTGATAATAAATCTTCATCACAAGCATATTCTTTAATGGTTTCTGTGAGAGCCTGCACGAACCATGAACCTCGTTCCGAGTTGCGCCATGACACATAACCTAAAAATAATATTAAAAATTAAATTAACAATTTAAAGAAAATTAAAGATATTCTGTCAGTGTTGTATACTGTAGTAATTGAAATAAAAATAAGAAAAGCATTAATAACCGTACGTAATCACAGTTTAGAATGTTTGTAGTGAAAGTGGTTTTTTTTACATTGAATGTTATTTTCATTATCATTGTTTGTTGTCCTACATTGTATAGAAAATTTGATCCTCCTTATCATATCATAATAATAATAATAATAATAATAATAATAATAAAGATTTATAAAGTGCACATCTCCACCAAAGGTGCTCAAGGCGCATAGACAATTAAACCAACAAGATCCAAATAATTCCCAGAAAAATTTCCAGCAAAATCCAAATACCAATTATCCCATCGAGGCAGTGTTGCTCCCCATATAAGTATGCGCAGATACTCAAAGGCAGTATGTTGAGCTTCAGCACCTTCCACCCCAGGATAAGCCCAGGGCTCCACTACCGTGCACTGCAACAGGAGCTGCATTGCGTCGACAGAGAAAAGTGGCATCATGTGTATATCATACATATACTGTATATCATATAATATCAAATAATTTATTTCTTTGATAACACATATAGAATACAAAGACAAACAAGATTATAAGATAAAAATACTATTCAGGGGACACACCTATTAAGGGGACAGTTTATTGGTCCTGATGGTGTCTGCTTAATAGGGGTTCTACAGTACTGTTGTTATTATTGTTATTACTACAGTATTTGTCAATTTCATGACAAGTTAAAAACTGTAAAGTACAATTGTGACCATATTTTTAATTATTGACAAAGATTTGTTTCAATTCAATTCCAACTTTATTTAGTCCTTGGCAGAAATTATTTTGAGTGCATTTTTCCATAGCATTAATAAATCTAAAATACAAAAGATACAGTAAAACAATACAAGCAAATACAAAGAGAACATATCAAAAATATTAGAATACTGTCTGTACTTTAATTCACCATATTGTTAGCAAGGTTAATATGTTACTTGGGCTGATAATAAGGTGTAATTGTAAAAAATCTCACCATCTACAAAGCTGCCACCTTTTATTAATAATAATAATCATAACGCATAAATAACATTTTATTTTGGGGCAATTAGCGCACCCACCGCCACGAAAAAAAACCCGAAAATTTCAGAAGAAAATAGAAGCTTTTCTTTTTCTTTATTCTTATTATGCCTGCCACTGCCTTTAAATCTCCAAAAATAAGATACGTATGAATGTTTATGAGTGCAATGGGAAGAATTTCATGAGTTGAAAGATATGCTTTTCCATTCCACAAGGCTTCCAAGTGGAATGGAACAATCAATCAATCTTTCAACTCATGAACAACATTCTTTCCATTGCGCGAATAAAAACATTCAATATTTGTCTTATAACACACCTAAAATAGATTCTTGTCATTTGATATTTTATGACAAAAACTTAACTTTTTTCTGAATGGAGATTCTTGTCATTTTGAAATTTTTGAAAAAATCTACCTTTTTCTAAATAGAGCAGTCCAGCATCTCGAATCAAAAGATTGTATTAAGTCATATCGTATCCTAGGTACCGTGCAATGGGCGAAAATGGATGGAAAGAAAATTTCCATGAGTGACGAAATGGAGTAAATAACCAATGTCACATGTAACTCAATCCACCAATTAAATGACAGGGATCTATTTAGGTGTCTTTTTATTGTCATTTTGCTAAACGCAAATGTTGAAGCTAATCAGACACCTGTACATATCCTTCTATGTTTTAAATTTAATAACACCACAGATAATAATGGCCATATGAAAACACTAACAAAAGCCTATAGCATCCTCTATATTTCAATTTACATTTTGCTTCTAAGCTATATTTTGCTTTTGTTACATTAAAATAAATGTTTATCCTGTAATAGGTGTGTTTACTGTTGATTTGTCAGTTTGATTGACACATTGGAAAGGTCTATTTGCACTCACCTGGTACAGTTGCATACGCCACCAACATGTCGCTGTGACTTGGTAACTTCGATTGTTGTTTGCCCCACGCATCCGGTTCATCAACAACTTCAATTTCTACCTTCAGCATTTTTTCAACAAGCTCATTTCCATTATCTACATCGCCGGCCTTATTTAAGGATTGCAAGCAGGGGTCAACAGACGAACCATCCGGACCATCTGTAGCCTCAACGCCTTGATCAAACATTTCTACAAATAAAAAAAAGGAATACCAATTGTTTCCTAGAAATCAGGACAGCCTTCCACACTTTCACAAGGAAGAAAAAAATCTCAAGAAGAAACTAACCCATCTTTTGGAAATTCATATATTTTTTGTTTTGCTACAGTTTATTAACAGTCTCCCCAAAAACCAGCTTGCGAAAGGTATCACTACTGCCCAGTAAAATATAATTAGATGTTTTCCAATGAGCTTTCTAAATTAGGATGTATTTTCATAGGCTGCATAGGCCAGTATAGTGCAAAGGCTGCAAACGATTTCCACAGCAAAATGTTCAGATATATTAAACCCAATCTGATTGAGCATCCCACATCTACCATGATATGCATATATTATTTTTAAACATCCTAGCTAAACTTTCAAATTTATATTGTTATTAAATGATTACTATATAAATTTTTGTACAGTATCTTATTGTAGAGTATGCTGCTTTACAAAGTCGTGTGATGGTAGCATGGTGGTGGCATGATGATGGCATGATTTGCCATTTTTGGTAAATCCAGGATTCTACTTGTTACAGTACAAAAATACCGCACATTGATTTTCTCCATAATTCCTTATATTTCTTAACAAAAAGTTATTCACATATCTTTGCGCATAAGAGGAGTTACTGAAAGACATCACACTCACCTCCACGACATGCTTGGATGAAAAATATTTTTGGTTTCCCAGTGAGAGTTGGACAGCCCTCTCCTGAGAAACACTTGAGTATATCGTCAACCTGAACCAGACGCTCATCCACAGTGTACAGAGCACCGTTGATACCATGCGTCAACACAGCAAAGATGAAGCAGTCATATTGCGAGTGATTCATTTTGCTATACTCACTGATTTTCTTACTGAAATCCTAAAAAAGACAGATAGCAATGTATAGGTTAGAAACAAAGAATATTGATGCCAATAGCAAAAGTCAACTAAACCCCTGTCCACACTATCAAGTATTTTGTGACAAATACAGGTGACGTGCCTATGGATGTGATATGACATCATCATGCTCATGGACAAATCACATATATTTGTCATTTAATACAGTGTGAAATGAGCTTTAAAATAAGATATCCTTTTTTGAGTTATGGTAAGAATATTGATTACAATAGCAAAAGTCAACTAAACCCCTGTCCACACTATCAAGTATTTTATGACAAATACAGGTGACGTGCCTATGGATGTGATATGACATCATTATGCTCATGGACAAATCACATATATTTGTCATTTAATACAGTGTGAAATGAGCTTTAAAATAAGATATTCTTTTTTGAGTTACGGTAAGAATATTGATTACAATAGCAAAAGTCAACTAAACCCCTGTCCACACTATCAAATATTATGTGACAAATACAGGTGACATGTAATTGGTGTGATATGACATCATCATGCTCATGGAAAAATCACACATTGTCATTTGATACAGTGTAAACTGAGCTTTAAATTAACAGATATTTTTTGAGTTAATAATAAATTGTCTAACTTTTGTTGTTAAAGCATTTTGTTACCAATAGTTATTTTTTTTTGAGTTAAGAATATTGATGCCAATAATAAAAGTCAACTAAACCCTTGTCCACACTATCAACTTTTATGTGACAAACACAGGCGATGTGCCCATAGGTGTGATATGACATCATTATGCTCATGGGAAAATCACACATTGTCATTTAATACAGTGTTAACTGAGCTTCAAATTAAAAGATATTTTTTGAGTTAATAATAAATTGTCTAACTTTTGTTGTTAAAGCATTTTGTTACCAATAGTTATTTATTAAAGATATATTGCCTATTAAAAAAAAATATTTGGGAATACCTAAAAATTCCATAAAAAGTTAGAACTGCTAATTTAAAAGAATCAAATAAGTTATTACAGCAACTGCATATCAGAAATAGTTTTTGCTGATTCTTTTCTTTATCTGCATTACTTCTCTCCACCCGGGAGTGTAAATGGGTACCTGGTGGGGTTGCCTGCTCCTGCGCTGATTACCAGCAGCAACACTTAAGGCATGTGGACCCAATGATTAGGGAAAAGTGTGCTTTATAACCTCGAAGAAGAGGCGCATTATAAATACCTATACCAGTACCAGTTAATACAGACATTTACCAATCGGTATACTTGCCACAGGTCCCTTATTTTTTATTATTTTTCTCATTCTGGATAGCGCCACCAACAAGAAGTTAATTTAGAGACGGAATAAGCGACTTGTAAAACACTGAATGGAGGTACCAGGATGCCAAAAGAATGACGTAATCTTATATTTCGTATTTGGATAAATGCGCTACCAAAATAAACAATTTCAACCAATCACAATGTTCACATTTTCGGATCCATGAAACTGAGTCACGCGTGTCGACTAGTTAGGTATGACTAAAAAAAAGTCCTGTTTTAATTCAAGTAGGTAGGCAGAAGGGAGCTGGTCTAGCTTAGTCCTAGTCGAGGCATCAGCATCTTCAATTTTGAAAATTTACCAAGATTAATTAATATGCATGAAGTAAGCCAATCACATGATTTACAAAATCAATCTTGCATACGATATCCCACATCGAATTTGATGTGGGAAATTGTACGCATGAATGATCAGGCAGCATTTGCCGAGGCCCTAATCCAAAAAAAAATAAATAAATCGAGTATAGGACGCAAATTAAATTAGGTATGGTGCGCACTATGTGCAATAAAGATTGAGTAACCCAAAATTAGGGCCTGGAACCTAGGCTAACCAAGAGGCAATACACACCATACATGTCAACATCAAGCAACATAGCATACACCCAACAGTGTGTCACACTTATAGCATCAGAAATAGAAAACAATATATATCTACGTATACAGATGGGTAAGAATTGTACTCAATCATTAATCCTCGTACCTCTAAAACATGCAGCCATATAATAAAAAATAAAAACTCACATCATATTTCATATTTGTTATACTTTCAACAGAAAATCCTAAATTATCAAACAATGATTTCAGTTGGCAAGCATCAACATCAGTTCCTTTCCGTAACGGCATTGAACGGAAGTTCCGGTTGTTGACTATCAATGCTTTTCCCCTAGGCTTTCTTTTCATTTGATAGTTCTGCAGTATTGAGAAAATAATAGTAATAATATCTAAGTAATAATGATAATATAATGCTTGCCTTGTCAATCAATATGGATCCAATAACCATATTGTTAGACAGGATCCATGGCATGTGCCCCCCCCCCCATTTTGCCACTAAATTTTTAAATTTCAATGCATATCAATGTTATTATGTCAATTGAAATCAGCGATACTGTACTCGCGTATCTATTCTCCAAAAATGTTGTACCCCCGTTACTACTTTAATACTATGGTTAGTTTTTCCACCAATTTGAGATGACCTTTGGGATCTGAAAACATGGGGTTACCTCAGTGTTTGGTCTCCAATTAGAGATTCAGCTATGTGCTAAAAGATTGACGTTTGTAATAGTTGGTACTTCTGAAAATGTAATCTCGAATTACAGTAATCTCAGATTGGTTGGCAAACAGATTACTGGTGGAAGCATGCTAAAACAATATATCAACAATTTTTTTATGAAATTCCATTGTGGTTAGAAGAAACGTTAGGAAGAGCAGAACAAAATCAGTTAAATTCTTTACAACTTCCAGGTTTTCTACAGTGAGAAGATGCTCAAAACCTATATGGAAACAAAGGATTGAATGCATCTGAAGATCTAAAATGCGGGGGAGGGGAAGGTGGAATACACCCATGTTCAGTCTGCATTCCCCTTTGCACACTTAAATTCTTCAATTAATATCTAATAAACATTTATAATAATAATGATATTCTGAAGACGAACTAATAAAGTTTGAAATATTGAACCGCAATGGCTTGCATCACTTTTTTTTCAGAGTACCTGTGAAGTATCAGTCATATCACTGGAATAACTTCCTTTGGAGACTTTCATTTTTAAAACCTCTTCTGCTGTCTTTACTGGCCATTCTAAAATAAAAGTAAGATCATGATTTATAGTTACAGGTAACTAAATTTGTTTTGATTTATTGTAGACCATTTCAAGATCCTAACATAGAAACCCATAAATGGAAGGAGATTCTACCCTTCCCTTAACATAGCAAAAATCTTAATTTTTCTCTAAATTATGCATACATAATTAATGTGTCCACAATATGTAAATTATTGGCAATATAAAGTAGTTGATAAATAGTAGCTACAATTATCTATCTAATCATTCAATTTAAATCAATTAGTATTATATTATTAACATTTCTTTTGCAATTCTGCTTCTGAACTTTAATTAAATTATGTTATCATTTTTAAAGTTTCTTTTAATGAATGATACCTTGATGAT